GGGCACGCTGAGAGGGTCGCAACTTGTCCAACTCAACCACACGCCTCCAAAGGGCGTTCAAACCAGCAAGCAGGGGGCGTCTGAACATGGCAATGTACACAAACCCTCCTCCGATGACCTGCAGCTCTCTTTGCGACGCTCTTCCATGAATCACCGCTTCACACGCCAGCTTCACGTACCTCATGACCTTCTCAGGCTTGGGCCCTGCCTTTCCTACTTCGCCATCCACCCATGCGCCCTGTACCTCTGCCTTCACTGCCTGCGTGACAGCCTTCTTCGGGTGTCTGGGGAGTCCTAGGGTCTCATATGTTTGTCGTACAGCTAGAGTCCAAGCCGATGGGGTCCCCGCCAACATGTCTGCCAATGTCCTGTCAACCTTCTTTAGCTCATCATAGTTATCCAGGTACACGCGGAAGAGGTGAGGTGCGCTACTAGCCGGTCTGTCCCTTCGGATCTCTTGATGACCAGATGCCAACCTCGACTCACCTTTCAATGCTTGATTGATCACTCGTCGGTGGACATGTTGAGCAATAGCTACCGAGTTTATGAAACCCATAGGCAACACCTGCGTCACCAAGTGCCACCCTGTCCCCGCATATCCTCCTGGGAGGGCCTCACTAGGGACCTCCCGTCCAAACCCCATGTACTTCCACCAACTGGGCGGAGTTCGGAACAGATAGAAAAAACAGCGAATGTCCTCTGATGAGGTCACGAGGAGTTGGTTGTCTTCAAGAATGATTGATGACATCCCTACAACACTGGGCAAAGTTGAGGTGTCTCCGACCAAGCTCCGGCAACAGGCGTTCGTCGGCACTAGGTTCATGATCAACCGACAAACTTCAAACAGGTTCCCGTGAGCATCTGTCGCCTGTTCCTGCTTACTAACAGCAAAAAGTCCGTTCAGTAATGGTCGTCCTCCTATATGGTGTAGTTCACTGCGATGCATGAGCCGGCATACCCCCCTTCGGATCAACCCCGAACACACCTCAGCCCAGTGGCTGGCCTCCACCATGATGCTTGGAGCCTTTCCCAAATGCTGGTCCTGAGGCGGCAGAAGAAATTCCTCAAAGTTCTTCACATAGGCTAAAGTGCCCCCGTCACAAAACTCCTCCAACTCTAGACTGCCTACCGCCTCGGGAAATGCTGCTTCCACCATGCGCCAATCGAACCGACGTGCGACTTGAACAATCTCCCCAGAGTAATCAACCGACCGGGCTTGGAAGAACTCCCCGAAGTCAATGTCTGGAACCTCTGCTCCTCTAAGCTCTGACTCTTCTACCACTTTCTCCAACCTTTTGATCAAGTTCAACCGAGTCTTGTCCTCTCTCACCCTTACTATTGTCTTTGTCCCATACAATGAATTCAAAGCTTGCACCAATGCATCTATACAAAAACCTGAGGGAGTGCTAGGCTTCAGAGACGATGGAAGGGGCAGGGGGAACAAATCCCCTTTGGACTCGCTGCAACGCGCGTAAGCCTTCTCTTGCACCTTCAACGCCTCTAGAAGCGGCTCCCCAATGTCCTCAAATCTCAACCCCTTTTTTTGGCATGCCGTGGCATGGTTGTACCGGCATTGTTCAAATGCCTGCCGGTTGCTTGCGTTCAACACCATCCATCTCGACCCACTTACCTGTGGGGAGGCATAGGTATTCGAAGCAGTGTCTCCCAATGAACTCTGGCTCTCTTTCAACGTTCGCCCAGCACACTGGGAGTCCTGCTCCCTTGTCAAAAAAGCAATGTCAGCAGGCGGCTCCAATGTAGCCTTCTCCTCAACCGACACAACATTGTCACGCCCACCAGGCTTCCCCAACACAACACTCTTACGGCCATCGTGCTGGGAGTCCTGAGGCTCCCCTTCCATCTCCTCATATGGCCTCCGGCCCACTTGCATCCATCTCTTCTCCTCAAGCCCTTTCTTCAAGCCCTCTTCTCGACAACCCTTCAACAGCTCCTCTATCGCCCTCGCTTCCACACCTGATACAGCCTCTGCCCTCTCTTTTTCCAGCTCTCCTGCCCTCTGTAATGCCTGCTCTGCAGCCTCCTCTCTAGCCCTTTTCGACCCTCTCTCTGGCGGTTCTTCCATCTTTGGATCGTTCTTCTCACCTCCTTTGGAGCTTCTCCTCAGCTTCTTGCTACTCATTTTTCTTCTTGCCTTTCCCCTTCTCTCTTTTGCCCTTTTCGCCTTTTCCTTTGTCTCCTCCAGAGGTGTAACGATCCTTTCCTTTTCCCGCCCCCTCCCCTTTCTCTCGGCCTCCTGATCCACTGGCGGACCCATACGGCCGCTGGGAGGCAAGGCGGTCTCGAAGCTCCTCACGCGCCAGCTTTGCGGCCTCTTGCCCTTCGGGGCCTTTGCTTAACCCCATTGAGTCAGCGCTCACTAGCTCTAACTGTCTTGCTACCGTCCAATGTCCGCCTCGAATCTGCTGATCGAGAGCCTTAACCCTTTGTGCCAACAGGTCAAGGGCTCTTGCAGGATGACCACGGAGGAGTAAGTCGGCTCCCTGAGATAAAGTGAGGAGCTCCTGGCTCATGGACGGCGAGCAGAGCGCCTGCATCTCGCTCCGAAAGAATTGCGAGAAGATCGGTGGAAGGGTTCGGCGATCTTGGGAATATAAACTGCCGCTCTGGGTGAGCAGTGATTCTTTCATGCTCGCCACCGTTTGCGCGGCCAAACTTCCCGGATACCGCCTTGTCAGGCGGAGCGCTCTCTTTCGCTCCTCAAACAACCCTTCTCCAAACTCCTCTTCTTCAGACTCACTCGAGGAGCTTGTTCCACTCGATGCTTCACTTGAAGACCTTCTCCTCCTCTTCGAGCTCTTCCCTCCAAAGCGTTTTGCTCTTTTCAGGAGCTTACTGCGAACCTCTGCATTTGGGTCCAGGCAGGTCCCCTCATACAACGCGGACAAGGTCTTCTGCCCCCGTTCCATCCATGCAGTGCCCTCTTCAACCCCCGGCTCCTTCTTCTCGCCATGCCTCGCCTCATGCTTCTTTGTCTTCTCCTTCTTCTTCTTTTTTGCCTTCTTGTCCTTCACCTTTTCTTTCTCCTCTGACTCCTCCCTGGGAGACCCTGCCTCCCCTCGATCTGTCTTCTTTCTCTCCTCATGCAACTTTCGAAGCGACCCCAACTCATCCTCTGCTTCAACTTTCTTGGAGTCGGCCTCATAAATGGTCTGCCATGGCTTCTTGTCCTCATCTTCCACCAACCAATACCCTGCCGCGTGGATCACATCCTCACCTGTCTCACGTCGCCCGCAACTAGGCCCGCAGACATGGAGCTGAAAGACACGCTTCCGTGGATCTGCCAGAAGCTCAGTCATATGGTCCGACTGGGTACCTGTAGCACGAAAGGTCAGGAAATCGTCATCCTTCCCCAGGCCCTCCACATAGCCTGCGAGTTTGACATGACCTTCATAGTATGAAGCCTGGGCCAACTCTACAAGGCCCAAGGTACGCAGCTGAACGGCGGCCAACTCCCTGAAGACATGCAGCCTCGTCACCTTCTCCTCCGCCTCCATACGACTAGCAGGCCTTTTCCGCAATGAGGATGCTCGGATGGCTGGTCGTGCTCTTGGCGGCATTATCTTCGCCTGTTAAAGAGCTCTTGCTTTGCTCGACGGGTCACTCCCTTGTTCTTTCCTGCCCACCACCGTGGGTGGTTGCTGTATGGCACGCGTCCCACCCAGCCTGGGCCCTGCGGGACTGGCTGCCGCCGCGGCGGTCTCACTGGCGGTGGCCTCGCGGGGGGCTGGCGCACCGGTGGTGGAGCAGGCGGGGGACCTGGTGGCGTATGGGGGCTGCGGGGCTTCTCTGGTGACCTGAGCCTCACAGCCTCTTCCTTTTTGGCTTCTCGGACTCTTGAACCGGTCACAGACGATGTCCCCGTTCTTGATCTCCGTCTTCGGCGGCTCCGATCCTTCTTGTCGCGATGGCTTTCTCTCCTTCTTTTCTTGTCTCGGCCACGCGAACTGGGAGAGGAACTCGACCTCTCCCTCTTCCTTCTCCTCCTCCGGCTTCTGTCCTTCTTTGCGCTGATGGGCTCTTCAGTGACCTCTCCAGCCTCGGCCCCTTCGGCCGGGGATGCACGCTTGCTCTGAGGTGCTGGGGCTGGTCTCTTATCGGGCCGGTCCACTGGGATGTCCTGGCCTCGGTGAGTGGGCCTTGGCACTCGGACGACCTGGGAGCTGTGGCCACGGTCTAAGCTCCCTTGGGGCGCCTCGGGGGCTGGAGGAGGAGGCGGTAATGGAGGTCTACTGACGACCTGTTTTGAGCTGCTGGATGGGCGGCTGGTTTCAGGATGGGGGCGATCACTCTTTTCCTTGTGTGGGCTGTTGTACTGCTTCAACACTCCTTCCTTTCTTTCGGGCTTTGCTAAGGGCTTTTCCTTGTCCTGGGGCTTTTCCTCTCTCTTGGGCTTCTCTCTGGATCCTCTGCTATCCTTGTCCTCGAGGTTCTTGATCTCCTTGATCCAGTCTTCAAGGAGCCCGAAACACCCTTCCAGGAAAACAGCCGCGGCCTCGTCCCGGTTGGGTGCCACCACCGACCGCAGGGACACCAACAACTGGTATCCCTTTCGGCAAGGCAGGCACGTTTGCAGTCCCTCGGCACGGACCACAAAGTGCCTGCAGCGGTCGCAGACTGGGAGAGGGCTCGCACCCTCTCCCATTCAAGCCTCTTAAGCCCCAATGCTACGGTGAAAATATGACCGGCTCTGTGATTAAACATGAGGACATTAGGTCACAGAGATTCCACAGAATTACTCTAGTACTCAGCGTGGAACGTAAGAGATGCAGCTAGCCACTCCCAATGTGCCCAGCTTGAGTCTCACTTTTTCTCTGGGCGTGTGTCTGTGTCTGCGTGTCTGCGCCTCCAGTCAAGCCCGGAAGAGCTGAGCCACATGGCCACAGGGCCGTCCCCATCTACGTCGGGAATCGGTGAAGTCTATGCACTCCCAAGGTGAGATCCTTGGGAATAAAGTCTGCCGTATTCCAGGAGCTCATTCTTCATTGCCATAGCTTTCGGCTACGCGAGCATATCCTTGAACAAGACAGTTTGCGAGAATAGGACACACTCCGCAATGGCAACAACCAGACCAACTTCAAAGTGACCACCAGAACCAATTCCAAGATTCGCCCACCTTTGACAAGCTCGTAGTTGCTCTTCCTTCACACAACCGGGAGGTGGTGAGGTGGTCTAGGCCAGGTCGGGGTCTTGGCGAGGTTTATCTGAATGGATTTTTATACCTGTCCACTCCCAGCGCTGGCCCGTTTCAAAGAGACGGTCGCTGCTCCTCCAGATCTCATGGGGCAACTCGCCGCTGGGCTCACCATGCGCCAAGTAGTTCCCATCATCATCCACCAGCACAAACTTCTTGAAAGCCTTGGTGTCCAAAAAGCAGTCTGCCATTTTGGTCAACCGCTTCACAAGAAGGCCTCAACAAAGCTGTCGTTTCACACAGCATGAATATGTGTTCAATATTGTTCAATTCTTTACTGGGAATGCTTGGCAAAAACTCTGCTGTACCAGTGGATAGTCGTATAAGTCTAAGTATATATTCCCGCAAAGCTGCCGAGGATCATTATATTGAAAATGGATGTGACTGTGTATATCTGTCTATTACAAACAAATATATATCATGTGAATCATACTAGTATGGCATGCAAAAGAGCAAAAATGGCCACATTCTAGACAGACTGTGTGATGACCTGTGGTTTTGATCACTGAGCGGGGCACCGGCGGACACCAAACCAACTTGAATGCCACCCTGGCAGCGAATAGCCAGCTCAAAGGGCATCGCTATTAGGAACAAGGATGCTATTCGGGGTTCCTGGCCGTACTACTAGGAGCAATGTTCGCTACTAGGGGCTCCTGGCATCGCTACTAGTAGCGTCTTTGCTCCTAGTAGCGATGCCAGGAGCCCTTAGTAGCTTCTTGTTCCTAGTAGTAAGGCCAGGAGCCCCTAATAGCGTCCTTCAAATAGGTTTGGCTTTCCCAATTTCTCCCCAGTGAAGCGCACCTTGATCGAAATTGCACATGGGCCACATCTTGTGGAGGTTCCAAATGGCAGCCATTCATGCCTCAGAATTTCAAGAGCCAGATACTTTTTTGAGTTCATGTCTATAGTTCGGCTGAGAAAATCGGCTCCATGTCTAAGCATCCAACAGGTGCTCCAGGAGCCACCAGGGCCCAACTCTGGGAGCGAAGCGACCTTTCAAGCTTCAACAAGCTTCTCAGAGGTTAAGAGAGTCAGACTATGGAAGGTGAGCGTCGAGGAATGTGGGACCCACTCGGTCTTCCATCATCTGACATAGTATGAACACTAATCTGCCGGTGTACGTCCTTCGGTCAAACAACAGTTCGTCGGTGCTGATCTGCGAGCAAAATTAGCTAAGGCAGTTGGACTTACACAAGCCGCGACGTTCCTGTCATTTCAAAATTAACATGAAATAACATGAAGGATGGTATGAGCACTCCTATAACTAAAGCATGGAGCCCTCCAAGGTGAACATCGTCTACAAAGAGGTCTTTGTTCAACCATCCGCCCGTTTTTGCGCCTGGATGCCAGGCCCAAGAAGGTTGCCAGTGGCAATGCCCTGAATATTGCCATCCTCGCCGATAAATAATGGTCAGACTGTCGTGGGCCGTAAAGAAGTGATAGTGATAGACTGAATCGCAAGACTACACTTCTTGATGTTGGTTCAGTGGAGAGCGCTTGGGATCTGACGTTTTGATTGTGCGCCACGTCACCTGAACAAGAATAGAACGTCTAGATACTGTATGCAATATTCTAGCTTTTGGAGCAACTGCCCCGTCATGAGCTTGAAAATCCTGGTTGATGAGCTTGTGTAACATGTTTCTCCTTGATGCAGCAGTTCTGCGTCAGCTATAGCACCTATGAGAGATATGAGCCAATGTATGTGTCCAAGCCCAAGTCTGCTGCCAGGCTACCAAGCATGGCAGTCAGGTCACAATGGGTGTCATCATTGAAGGAATGCCTGTCACAGAACACTGAATACACATCCCAAACATGTCGATTCATGGAGCGATGGGCGAAAGGCTCCACAACTCTCCACAACCGACCTACGGCACAGCCCTGCCAAAGGAAAAAGCGAACAACTGATCTGTGGTCAAATGCCGAGCTGCGCAGTGCAGCCACGTCCAGGAGGTACATCTGGCAGATCTCTCAGACCACCAGCCCAAAGCAAACGCCTTCGCACCTCCTCCCAAACTGGAAAGCTACATGCTACTGTAAGAACATGTGCTTAATCACACTCTTGCAGCCGGATGTTCAAATCAGGTATATACTGCTGGTGCACAAATTGTTGTAGGTAGTTTCTTTCCTCGCCTGCCATTCACCACTAAGCTCTTCAGTGCTGAGCGTTTTCACGCGGAAGTGAATGCCCTGCAAGCGCTCGAGCGCAGTCCCTGGATACTGTGGGTCCACCTGGCAACAGAGACATGAAAAGGCATCATCTTTGAATCCAGTCGTTCTTTCCTTGTCTAGCAGCTGCATCGTGATCTTGCAGGGGGGTGTATTTCAGTGTATAAGTTGATTTGTTCCCGAATGCGTAGCGAAGGGTTCCCCTTTAACTTTGGGAGTCTGAGGGTAGAGCGTCGTTTGCATGACGTTGGCGTCGTGTTCGCAGCTGTTCACAACCCCGCAACCGTCCACAGCCGTCTGAACGTGATTGATAAGGCTCTGCCATTAGGGAAAGGGTTTGGAGGAGGTTTTGCATGGAAGTGCGCAGGTGCAGGGATTGGGGCTCGCAGGGTTATATTTTGGAGGTGTTGGACGTCGCCGTGCCATTGGGATCTGCGTTGCAGGCTGTTGCATCGGAGCAGTGCTTTAGTGAGAAATCAAAAATTGCGGCTTTGGTGCATGTGAGTCAGTGAGACTAAGTGGTGAATTGGATCAGACCGGTTTCGTTTCCTATGGTTTTTGCATGCAAACATTGAAAAACCACAGTTTAAATTAAACAACAACAATCAACAAAAAATTAACACATCATATATGTTTGACTTTAAACTGTGTTTTTCAGCAACCCCTTGATACGCTGCTTTCTGGGGGCTAGGCTAGGGTGGGCTGGAACCTGCGTTTTCCCTCAGAAAAAAACAAATCCAGACTCAAACCCAGACTCAAATCCAGACTCAAAACAAACAGATTGACTCAATCCCAGACTCAAACCCAGACTCAAATCCAGACCCAAATCCAGACTGACTCAAATCCAGACTCAAATTCTCTGTTGCTGAGTCCGGATATGTTTTTTTTCCTCCGTTCAACCTTCTGCTACTTGAGTCTCCAGTTGAGTGTGTTTTTGTTTTTGGTCTTGAGTTCTGGTTTTGGGCTGAGTCTAGGTTTGTTTTTTGTGTTTGTGTTTATTTTGAGTAGTTTGTGTGTTTTGAATTTTTCATCTCGAACCTCTTCTGTGTGTGTGTTCGGGGTCACAACGCTAGCCCGCACGATTGATCGCGTGTGACAAGAGAAGCTTGCCACACGATTGATCATGTGTGACTATAACTGTGCAGCAGTTGACAACAATTGACCACGCCGCTCTTGATCGCTCTGATGGAATATATGAGAAAAACTCTGAGACCACAAAAGCCTGCAGAAATCCTGTCAGGGCAACGCTCAGCGCGTTAGTATTGTCCATAGTTTTTTCTTGGTTTAGGTATGTGTTAAATGTTCACACATGTTTCATTTGTCCACATGTTTTACAGTTGTTCTCATTTTTAGCATGTTCTATGCACTTTTGAGATATCTCGAGATATTTTGAGATGTTGTTTCTGGAACACTATTTTTGTAATGCCGAAACCTTTCCCACGAAACCCGGTTGTCAAATGATTTGAGATCTTTTGGCATGTTTTGAAGATTTAAAAGATTTGTTAGGTATTGAAAAGGTTTTTGAAGATTTTGAAAGATTTCTGAAGATTCCAAAAGATTTCTGAAGATTTGAAAAAGTTTTAAAGTCTCTTAAGATTTGTAGATAACATTTTGAATGTCTTCCATCATATTTGTCTTTTTATTTCATTTCCATCATTTCATGTTTTTAGTTGCTTTTTTTCTTCTTTATGTATCTTTATGTCTATGTATGTATATTTATATATATATATGAATTTTGTATTTGAAAAACAATTACTGATCTAGACCACTTGACATGTGCCCCACCACTTAGCGCCAGTGAGTGAGTGTGCAAACCACACTCACATCCACCAAAACTGCAATTTTGCGCTAAGTGCCAAAATCATTCCAAACGTTTGGTGTGATGCAAATTTTGCTGCAGACATAAAGATGTGATGTAGTGATGTAGTATGATGTAGTAACCTTTCGTGGCAGGCGCAGTACTTTGCGTGTGGGAGGTGAGGAAGTTAAATTTTCGTGGCAGGCGCATGGAAACGTGAGGCTGCGACGATTGGTGGAGGTGAATGTCGCTTTGCTATTGGGATTGGTGTGTCGGGCTGTGGCGTTGAAGGCTGGGATTGCGAAACTGCCTGGCAGGGCTGCTTGATCAAGTGTGTCCGACAAGAGTGTCCCGCAAGTGTGAGTGGCCACAAGATCCAAGGCTTCTCCAAAGAGTGTCCCTACAAGAGTGCCCTGCAAGAGTGTCCCCACAAGAGCGTCTTCTACAAGAGTGTCATACAAGAGTCTCCCACAAGTGTCTCCCGCAAGAGTGTCCCACAAGAGTCGATCCTACAAGAGGGTCCAACAAGGGTGTCAAACAATGTTTGGCCGTTTGTTTTCCAGTGTATGTCTGTGCATTCCGGATCGTGAGCTCCATAATTTTGTTGTCTCCATCTCCATGTGGACAGGAGGAGAATGTGTGCAAGCGCCACCCATTTGTGCGGCCATCCATCCGTCTTACGATTTGTTCGTTTATCTATCCATTTACTAATTGGCTTGTAAACAAACAAATGCAAGTGGTGTGCTCCTACGAGTCTATGCCGCAAAAACCTTGCAACCGTGCAAGCAATGCAAAACAAGCCTTTGCATGCGCCTGCACATGCAAAGTCGATGGGCAAACCGGCGCGCAAAGAGCAACCAGCGCAAGCAGCGCAACCTGGGGTTGATCAAAAAGGTGCACTGGTTGCTCGAGCCATCTAGCCAGCCCTTCAAGATGGCTCCCTTTTTGATCAACCCCAGGCAGAAAAGCATGATGTTTCATCTCGTCTTGCGTCCGCAGAAAGCTGAACCCGTGTCTTGCTCCGTTGGTTCATGTTGATTCGTTCGATAAGGATCGAAAGGAAAGCCACAATGATCAAGTTGTAGAAAGCAAACGTGTCAGCATGGAAAGAAACCAAACCAACCAACTGTTCTTTTCTACATCAGCGTTCAACACATGAAATGCGAAGTGAATCTGCATTTCACTGGTAACTGGTAGGCTGGGTTCCCTCATGTCTGCCCCTATCACCAATAAGCTCCCCATCCCACCTGCACACTAAAGCACCGAGCCCACCGCTTTGGGGCACGTGGAGCATGCAAGCGAACACCAAGACGGGCGAAGGCCATAGCGGTCATGGTGCTTCGGATAGCACTCTTTGTCAAGTCAACTAGTAGCGATGCACTTGTTACTACTAGCTTCTTGTTACTACTAGTAAGGCACCTGTTACTAGTAGCGATGCAAAACAGCCTGAGGGTTTCTAGCAGGTTGTCATGGTAGATGGTCTTGACGCAATTCATCAAAGCAATGGTATAATATTTACTCGTGTTACTCATGTTACATGCCTGCTAGGCTATGATCAATTCGCACTCCTTGGTTTTCTACAGCTGCCATTGCACTCCAGTAGCATGTGTGAAACTAAGAGTTCTTCGACATTCCGTCCGTTCCAATATTAGAAATCATTGTTTTGCTGTCAATGCGTGCTCATTAAATTACATCAAATGAATTCAAATGACGATGATTCCTCGGATTAAGTTTGTCACGAAGGCTATCCTGCTTCCGCAAGTGTGGCAGCAGTCTGTTGCAGTTTGACATTCCGAAAGAGTCAGCCGATGGCAAAGTTCTTGCGGCGTGTGCGGCAAGAGTTCTTGCGGCGTGCAGCAAAACTTGCAGTCTCATACAGTCCAAGTTGGGCCCCAACGAGCATGCAGTTTCCAGCAAAAGAAAAGCAGTCTTGAAATGTTAGCTGGGCCCCCAGACTTGTTGTGATGGATGTTCTCGCCAAGTTCATGTGGAGTAATTCCGAAAGCCTTCAAGGAAAGCACGTCGATTGACCTCGGAAGCAGGCCAGCTGGCCAACCCCAACAGCGGAGTAGTGGTCTAATTGCCTCGACTGGAAGACAGGGAGCTAGACTTGGATTCTAGGGGCGGCGCTCTTTGATGCCAAGCTTCTCATCAAACTTTGACCTCCTGGATGGCCCAGGCATGGCGCGCCGCGAAATAAAAGAAAGAGATGAACAATGGAAGGTAACGCCCCGTGACGCCTCCTTCAAAGGGACCTTACCTGCATTTTCTCATCTCTATTTTTTGTTTACATTATTTAGCCCTTAACTTCTGCATATATATATAATATACACATAATACATAAACATATGTCTATTATTGGGTTGAGCCCCATAGAGAAAATTTGCAAATTTGACGCGCCTTGCCATCTTCATGACTGCATCCACTGAGGAAGTTGTGCTTCGCAGCGACCTGGTCGAATCTTGGGGGAGTGTCGCACAACTTGGGCAAAATCTCTGGGATGCGTTTTGGAGTGAGCCTTGACTGCTGCCTTTCCCCATCTTTCCCCAATGTCATGTTCTTGAATTTTGTTACCGACCCTGATGGATAAGACTGGCTATGCACACCCTCAGCGCCGGGCTCCCCAGATGGAGTTGTAGATGGATGCATGGCTTTGAGCCTGGCAACTTTGCTCCAGGCTGCATATTACTTTGGTGTTACTCTGAAAGATGTTACCAGGTATACCATTATACTTATTATATATATATATACAGTTTAGATACAATGTTTGTGAAGAGCACTTCTGCAGGAATTCTATGTGGCATCCTATGGTCTAGTCTAGCGAGGTGCCATGCGGTAATTAAAAGTACTCTCCACCAAGAAAGTAAACACTAAGTACCAATCACTGTAAGTGTGAGAACTCACACGCCAACATTGTTGTCCAGGCAGTCTAAGTCAGGTGTAAACTTGGCACGAACGACCAGTCTTGTGCATCTCGCTGAAATTGTTCTGCATCTGGATGGTTCCAGACCTGAGAGATTCGAAAGTCGGATATAGTGGATAGCTCAACATAGAGAGTCGCAGGTTCCAGCTTGACTTATCCCCACCCGACCAATCAGCAAGGGAAGCAGTTGGAGGGGCATCAGGCATTCCTGTTTTGATGTTTTCATTTCGTATCAGGTTTCGCTTGTCTGTACTTTTTGTGGGTTGTCATTGCCATTCCACACCATGTCATTGGTGTTCTCATTGTGCAGTGTGATTATTCCTGATCATGTTCTATCTTGGTTTTTTATATGTTGCTGCAATGCGGATGTTCCGTGTTGCATGCCGCTGATGTTGTCATTCTGCTTACTGTTACGCTCGTGATTGTATTATAACTTGTCGTTACTGCTGAGACTGGTCGATGTTGATACTGTGGCCACTGGGCTGCCCAGGTGAGGCATGGGACTCACGAGACGGCTGGATTCGGCTGGATGGGTGGGAAGACTGGAAAGGTACTGAGTTCTATACTGCCACAGTGGGAATACTGGGTGGGGCATGCAGCAGAGGTCAAGACACATTGCTCAAAACAATATATACCCTCGGGTTGGGGACAAGTCTTCCACAGCAATATAAACGGTCTTCTCCCGACATGTTTACCAAATCATCACTAAAAATGTTTTCACCTGAGCAGATCGCATCCCGCTGAACTCTCTGCTTGATGTGGTCAGGTACGGAAGTTCCTGCTTGTTCCAACTTCTGAGTCCATTCAAGGAGAAGCAGGTATCGCTTCCAAAGTGGCTGCCACAAGAAGTCATACTCCTGGATCGTCCACAGGTCTTCCTTGGTTAGAGCCTTTGCAACCATCCACCAGACATGTTCCACGATGTAGACAAGCTCTAACTTCTTGTCATGCAACTTCGATAGAACACGCACAATGGCAGTTTCGGTGATCTGTCGCTCATAACCACGGCTCCTGAAGGCCTGATTGTAAATCCAACGAGCCTCTGTTTGATATTCCTCATCTGTCCAGGAACGCACACTGTTAGCTTGTCCCTGACAATATGTCTGCAGCCAGCGTTCTGGCTCTTGGCTGTTTGCAAAGGCTTGGTCCACAGGAAGTTGGTAGGACTTCTCCAGAACATCGGGATCCAAGGCATCGCACAGCGGCAGAACAGCTTCAACGGCCGTGGCATCTGCTTCAGTCGACTCTTGTTTTGCGGCTAATGATGCAGCCGCGGCTGCTTCAGCAGCGCCAAGGCTGGCATGAACAGCAGGAGGAGCATCTTCATCGCCGCCTTCAAGTTCTCCCAAAGGTCTCAGCACAGAGGTATCGCCAAAGACATTTGTCACCCAATCGAGCTTGCTTGGGGTGAGACCAAATTGAGCATCATCTACTTGTCCGAACTGGTCATCCACAAGGAAGCTCTGGACTGACTGCTTGTCATTGTCCGAGTCATCGTCCATCTGTTCGGCCAGCACCTGGCTGACATCTTGGAAAAACCAAGCGTGCTGTTACTACAGAACACATCAACTCCTTTTCAGCCCTCTTACAGCCCGCCAATGTGTTTTTGAAGATTTTATCATGTTGCAAACGGATGTATCGTAACTGTACCTCATGTCTTGAAGATCAAAAGGTGAGGTAGCTGCAAGAGTAAGGAAACGGCTGAGCATGTTCGAGTGCATAGCCTTCCTTGCTATGTCAAAATGTTCAAATGCTTGAAGTTGTGATCCCTTCTTGCTTTCGGTCACTCACCTTCTCAAGGCCAGATTGATTGATGCCTTCCCCGAAGATATCCTCCATTGTGATGTTGGACTCATCAGCCTCGCCACCATTTTCTCCATTCCTTGCACGCTTGGCAGGGGGGCTCCTCTACCTCTGCCATGGCCACGGGTGATGCGACGGCATAGCAAAACCTACACCGCCAATGGGATTATCTGATGCAATCGAACAGCTTCAAGAAAACTGGATGTTCACTGCGGATCTTAGCAGAGTTGGATTGAGCTGGCAATGAAGTGGGCTGAGGTGGATTGGGTGGGCTGGGTCTTGGTAGGCAATGCCAATAATTTGAATTACTGTGCTTGAGCGGACAAAGAGAGAGAGAGAGAGAGCGCGCGCGCACGCGCGCAGTGTAAATGGTTTTGCCACATCGACTCCACTGCTGATCAGTTTTTGCAAAGGTGATAGCATCTTGTCTAAATCATTCCCTTGCGCCCTGCTCTTCTTACAGACGCTCTGAACAAATTTATGGCACTGTTGTTTTTCTTCGTCAAATTAGCACCATCACAGGAGCAAGCGGTCTGCAGCTGCTTCCAGGTCACCACCTCAAGGTCATGTGGAACACAGTGCGTTTCTGCATTCATGAACCCGGTCATCGTAAAAGCAAACGAATCTACGTGCACAAGTCTGCTGCTGCGTTCAAAAAACCAAAGGTATCAAAGCTGTGGGTGCACGTACAGTCAATAAGTTGGTCGATGGCACCTGTAGCCCTCAGGGCACGTCGCGCATCTTGCTCATCAATGCCAAGGACTGCAAGCTGTTCCACCTCCGGTTGAGGGTCGAGAACACGGAGGAGATATGTTCAATTGTCAAGTCCTAGAAGTTGAAAGCTATCAAAAAGAAAAGCATATAGCTAGAAATTTGAAGCTGGATGCTGTGCTTTTGGGAAACATATTGAAATTCATATAAAATCTATATACACCTGAGAAGGGAGGGGACGAAAGCTCAGGGGGGTGCCCTCAGGGTAGGCCCGGGCAAAGACTTGGCGTGCAAGAGGAAGTGATGGGGCAACATCGGGCAAAAATTATAATCATCCTGGAGTAGATAGAATTTCAAAAACAATTCACTCCTCAAAACCGGCCCTTCCAAACCCCATAGATAGAATATGGTTGTAGGGGTTTCTCTTCCTTTTCCTTTGTTGTCCTTTTCCTTCTCTGTTCGTTCTATTTTCTGTTCGTCTAAAAAAAAGAAAAAAGGAAAGGAAAGCTTAGATAATACACATAGGAACAGAACATGAAAATAACAAAGGAGCAAATACCGGAATGGGAGGAGTTGATACGAATCTTATCACTATAATTCACTATATTATTCTATCTATAGGCTATAGGGTCAGTCTTCATAAAATGAAAGGGATGTCAAAAACCCTGAGTTTTTGCAAAAAGAAAAACACCCCCTAAGAAAGTAGATTCTATCTACTCCAGGATGATTATAATTTCATGGGGTGAAGTTGACATCGCAGCCACACTGATAGGGGATAGAAATGAAAAGTAGAAGACATAGGTCTGGGAGGGGGGGGGTGCCCTTTTTCGCCCCGGTTCAGGGGAGATTTGGAGGTGAAAACGGGCACCCCTCAGGAAGTGAGGCGCGCTTGCCGGCGGCGTGTTGCGTGAGCAGAGACGGCGGTGGGGTTCATGTGCGAGGCTATGGGTAGGATAGGTGAGTATATATATATGTGTGTGTGTGTAGGTAGAGTGGACAAAGAGTAGCCGGAAGTGGTGAGGTTGATATTGGGGCGACGTGAGTGTGCAAGATGCAGTGATAGGCTAACATTATGTAAAGAGTACGCAGTACGTGTATGGGGTGAAGTTGGCATCGCAGGTACGTGATAGGAGGTAGAAATAGACGGGAGAAAAAAAGGGGGGTGCCCTTTTTCGTCTGGGTTCAGAAGTGTTGTGGAGGTGAAAAAGGGCGCCCTCAAAGATGTTACGTGAATTCGTCGGCTGCGTGTTGGTAATGAGTGACCAGAGACGGTCGTGGGCGAGGCTATCGGCAGGCTTTCGCGAGGACATATACTGTCTCCAACGCTTGCAAGGCGCAATCTCTTCTCTGCCCCCAACAACCCCCCAATCCACGTGAACTCCCACCGAATAGGGGGTGCCCTCTTCAGTCCGGGTCTCTCGCAGGCCCTCAACAAATGGCATCATGCACCCCATATGGGGTGCCCTTTTGAGTCCAGTAACTAGACCTTGCCACATTCAAAACCTTCCGCCTCCAACGCTTGCCCGCTACAATCTCTTCTCTCTCCTGCCCTCCATCACTCAACCCAACAACTCCAAATCGTCTGCCTCCAGCGCTTGCTCGCTGACCTTCCACCTCCAACGCTTGCCGGCTGCAATCTCTTCTCTCTCCTGCCCTACAACCCCCCAATCCACGTGAACTCCCACCGCATAGGGAGTGCCCTCTTCAGTCCGGCAGCAACGCTAAGCTTAGCCACAACTACAATCTATTTTCTTTCCATGGCCTCCTGAGCCCCTCGTGCTGCTGATGATGCACTCTTCGCCCTCAATTACATCACTGGCATCGCAACACCCCTCAAACCACTCATTTTTCACTACCAAGTGGCCCACCTCTTTTTTTCGCTCTCCCCCATCAGGCTCTGGGTGCACCTCTCCGAAATTGGCCCTCTTGCGACCACCCCCCCCACACCCCCTTTACTCACTTCGTTCGCTCCAACAACCTCAAGCCCAGCCTACTGGCTGGCTTTCGTGATTTATGATCCTTGAATGGTCCGGCATGCGAAGGTTTTGACATGGAAACGAACTGGGCAAATGAAAGTGGGAGGATACTCTTACAGGATAGCCAACTGCCACTGGGTAGCATTTCAACTCTGGTGGGATTCTCTTGTATATGAGAGACTGTTACTTCTCAGGGAAATCCGCAAGCTAATTTCACCCCGATAACCGATATGCCTCAGACTGGAAGTGGTCAGGCTCTGATACCTCATGGTGTGCCTCCAAGGTTTGCATCAAAAGAGCAGGCTGAAGGCACTGAGATGCGCTGAGAATGCAAACACGAATGGAGCAATTCAGGCTCTGAGCGCTGAGGCTCCTGCAGATTCAGTACGGCTAGGTTGCGCTTCCTCCACTTCCTCCTCTGCTGAGGGAGCTCGGTCTATAGGCGACATGGCCGTGGAACTGCGGGATGTGGGATAGGCATCATCCCTCAGGTCATGCAATTTGTGGGTCCAAACAAAAAGCTTCAGCGCAGGACACAAACATAAAGCCTTAAAAATGCATCAAGTAATTAATTTAATCATTAACCACTGTCAGCTTCCTAGCTGAGCCCACCGCTCCCGTGAAGCTCCAGGAACTGGCCACACAATTGCAACTTTCAACTTTCTGAGATCGAACACTTTGTTCTCAAACTACTTTGGTGTTCCGGCAAGATACCTCCAACCACAAAGACCTTTGAGATATCCGTTGATTTTCAAAAATTTCTAAGCAAGAACGTGTAAACTGTTCGTTGGAGGTTTTTGACGCTGCTCACATGCAATGTGATCATTTGTGCCTCATCCTTCGTTTCTTAAATGGAAGCTTGACTGCGGTGTGAAAGCACCGATACGACTTATAAAAGCACATACAATTCAGTGCGGACATTGTTTTCAACCAGGCCTGGTGGCAGCGTGCAGGTGTGCCCTTGACCAGGACGTTTCTGCCTTTCTCTGGCTTTGATGTACTCCTGAGGTGAGAGCTTAGTGTGTTCATCCAATAACTAATTTACTGTGCATCCATCTGCACAGCTGGGGGAGCGTCAACTTCAAGCGAAGGAAAAGACATGATAAGACTAAAGTATACGAAAGTACACGGCATCCATCACAAATCACAACACATAATAACGAGCAACCTTCTCATCTAAGAAGCCCTTTTCCCAAGACCAAATCATAATCGTAATCTCCGTCATGCAAACCGCTTGCCTGGGCATCCTCCACGCGGAATTCGATTCGCGTGGAGCTTCGCATCAACATGGCTGCAACGGCACTGCAACAGCAATAACTACGTTCAGTCAGCTTGGCTCCTGGTGAGGTGAGGTGCAACCAGGAGGTGTTCCTCCCCTCCGAAATGCATCGAGTCAAGCCTTTCCCAGAAATGAGTCCCCTCCTCATCTGACTCAGAGTGCCTAGACTCGTGCGATTTGAGCACTGCTGCTGCAAGTTCTCAGTCAATCGCAGTCAGCTGCGGATTTTTGGTTTCAGAACATAGGGCATCGCTACTATGCAAGGACGCTATGAGGTGGAGGCCATCGCAAGTAGGTTGGAGGCCATCGCTACTAGTAGCAAGAAGCTACTATTCTCTTCGCACGTTGAAGCGCACGTCTGCATTTTTGAGCCGAACCCTGCCGAAACAAGGTCACTCTGGTGACTTCCTGCACCCAGTTGGGTGCAGTTGATAATATGCCGCCGCAAAGGAGACATGTCGAAACAAAAACGCAGCAGTGGAAATCTGTTCCTTTCCCATCTCTTGTTCTTCAGGTTCCTTTTTTTGTTGATCCTGACGCTGGCTGGTCCTGGTGCAATCGTCCTTGTTGCTCCCTCCACCATTTATCCCCCTCGTTGTTCCCTCCACTCTCCACCTTCTCCACATTCTCCTCTCTTTCTCTCCTTCTCTTCTTCTCTCCCTCTCTCCTTCTCTCCTTTCTTCCCAGTAGCCGTTCTCTGCTTTACTGTATAATAGGTGAATATATATATATACCATTCTACAAGTGTGCCCCTCTATTCCTGCTGCATTGTTCTTACTTAGCTTTCAACTGTCAACTTCTTTAGCAACCCTCTTTGCAGGTGTGCTGTGGACCTTCTGGTCTTCTTATCTGTCTAGTCGCTTGCTTTGTCTTGTGGCATCGTTAAACCAACTCATATTAGCCTCAACTGGCTTCAACACAAAGTTGGCCTACTGCCAATCTCCTCTGCTTTGTCTTGAGCTCTGTTGGCCCGAAATGCCCACAAATGGGCAGCGACATAGAGGCACAATATCGGTCAACTCGCAGTTTGAAGTGGCGACATCGTCCCAACTGCTGAGAAGCACAAGGCC